AATTATTTTAAAAATAACCGCGCAGAAGCATGATTGAACAAACACGGGAGTGATTGAACAAACTGAAGTCTGGGGTTTAATCCTGCCTATGAGCTAAATATCACATTCAATGCCACGCAGGCGACCGACTCGAGAAGTGGGGGAGCTACTTGAGCAACGTGAGTACAAAAACATCACAAAGTATCCCAAATCACAGCACCATGTAACATCCTGAGAGAAGTAATCCCGACGAGGAAAGGGGAGGTGGCTCGTGAACACCAAGCCGGCGCACACCTCATATACGCGCACACACACATACGCAGTCCATCCAAACATCAACTCTAAAGCTCTCAGTTCAGACACACACACACATGTAGACGGAGCTCCCTCCCAGGTATGGAATGTCCCCCGCGTCCGCGTCAGCGACAGACTTCATGTCGTTCAACCGCACAACTTATAGAACGTAAATTAAAATCCAGCAGACGAAATAAAAAGTAAAAAGTCCGCGGAAAAGAGAAAGATGTTGCAGCTGCACGCGGCGAGGCGAGGATGCCGAACAGGAGCGGTCCTTCCCTCCATCGGCAGAGCGGGCACGGACAGCCGGGGCGGGCTGGGCGCCACCAGGATCGCCTCACTCTTCCACTTTGTTCTCCGTCTCCGAGTCCGAGTCGGGGCCGATGTCGTCGCCCGTGAACCCGTTAATGTCCGACTCGCTGTCGGACGCCGGCGAGAGCACGCCGTTCTTGTTCAGGTCCAGCGCCTTCTCCTCGGCCTCCACCAGGATCTCGTACGTCAGCAGCTCTGGAAAAAGGACGGACGTTAGACTGAGGGGAGGAAGCACCACCAGCACCGAACATGGCGGCGGGTTGCCAACGGCTGTTGAGATTCCGTACCTGGGTCATCCTTGGACGACGCGACGAGCCCGTACAAGTCCAGCAGCTCGAAGCACACGCCGTTGGTCCAGCCGAAGCCGGCCTGAGGGGCGTACTCGCCTCCACCGCCGCAGCGGCCCACCACCTCCGACTCGTACTATGGGAGACAAAAGGGAACACACAAGGTCAGTGAGTGCTGGCCCGGCCGCGGGTGGGTCTTACCACACGATCGACATCGACTCTACTCTTACCTTCTCGAACATCTGCTTGTGCTCCTGGAAGCCCTTGTAGTTGGCGGCCAGCCAGCGGCGGGCCAGCTCGAGCGCCAGCCGCTGCGCGCCGGGGTCGCCCGTGTAGTGCAGGCCCTGCACCAGCATGCCCTGGAGCGGCGACCAGCAGTTGGGGAAGTCCCACTGCTCGCCCGTCATGATGAGGGAGGTCGGGGTGCCGCCCTGGTACTTGAGCACGCCCGTGTTGAACAGGTAGCGCACGGTCGCCTTGGCGATCTCGGGCGCCTGCAGCTCGTCGTAGCAGCGCGTCCACAGCGGCGTCAGGTTGGAGACGTAGAAGTAGCGGCGGGGCGTGCCGTTGAGCAGGTCGTAGTCGAGCCAGGTGCCCAGGTCCGGGTGCCACAGCACGGCCGTCACGGCCTCCCGGAAGTTGTCGGCCACGGCGCGGTACTCGGCCGCGCGGTCCTCCTGGCCCAGCCGGCGGTACAGCTCCGACAGGCCGACCGCGTTGCCGTACATGAACGAGTTGAGGTCCACGGGCACGATGTAGCGCGTGTGCAGGTCGCCGAGCGTGCCGCCGTTGGTGCCGTCGTGGATGACCCAGCGGCTCGAGAAGTCCCAGCCCGAGGCCGCGGCCGACTTGAGGTCCCAGTACAGGTGCTGCTTCTCCTCCTCCGTCGACAGGTGGTTGGCCGTGAGCACGTCCTCCCTGCAACCAAGTACGTAGTTAGTCAGACGAAATTGCTCTAAAAATGAAATAACTGAAAATTGCTCATGTTTGTTCACGCGTACCTGTAGGACTCTGGCCTGGGCCCATCAGACGGAGAGAAGTATCGGGCCAGCTTGTACGTCTTGCCCTTGTGCGTGACCTGCAACAGCGAGAAGCGCGGCGGTGAGGTTGGGAGAGGTGGACGTGCGCCGTGTTGGTAGGCAGCCCAACGCACGCCGCGGTGCGTCGGGCGGTCAGCGCGTCGGCGGGGCACGACAGGGAAGGACCTGCCGACGCTCGCCGCCTGCGCTCGCCGCCACCGTGGAACGACACGAAGCGGACACTGACGCTTGCTTACTTCCGGTTCGACGCACCCATCTTTCAAGCCGGCGACGACGTGTCGCCAGTACGTTTTGAACGCGTCGTCGCCCGCTCGAGTCGCCTTCCTTACACACAGTTACCTGCGCGTGTTGCGGCCGCGACGGCCGACAACGGCGGCCTCAAGGTCGGCCCGAGGCATAGGCAGGCTCATGTCCTCTGCAGGGTGCATGCCCAAGGCACGAGGTCCCCTCGCGGCTACCGCTTCTACTACCCAGTCGCGGGGCCCGGCGCGGCCCGGCCGGCTGCCAGTGAGTGGTGCACTGCTCGTGTGAGTGAGTCCCGCCGAGGTGTGACGCAACAAAGTCAACAACACGACGGAGGACGAGGGGCGCGCGTCACGTGGACGGGACGGGACGGCGGGCGGACGCACCGCGGGGGCCCCGACAGTCCTCGAAAAGATCGCTGCAATGGTGACGGGTCTGTCCGCATTAACCAGGAGCAACCGCGCGGCTTTTTTTACGACGGTATAATAACCTGGCGGGCCGGGTCGGCCGACATGGGGCTGTCCCGGCGGCTGGCGAGCCCCGGCCGGGAGGAACGGCGCGCATTCTAAAGTCGCGGGGATACGAGCAGTGGCCGTGGACGCAAGGACGAACGCGCCGCCGGCCGTGGCGGTCGAGGCCACGACGGCGAGGTCGAGGCACGTGCGCGCCGCAGCAGGGCGACCGTCCCGAGCCCCGAGGCCTCCGGGCGCGAAGTGTTTGCTCATTCCGAACAGATGGCCCACACAACAGGCTCACACCACCCACACCCACCTCCACGGTGGCGTTGTTGAGCCAGAACTGGAACTCGCGCTCGATCACGTCAATGTTCTCCCGGACGAAGTCCAGGTCGCCAGAGTGCTGCAAGTAGGCCTTGACCATGGGCACCAGCAGCGGCGGCTGCGACCGCTCGTTGTAGTAGACGCGGCTGCCGTTGGGGACGAAGCCCAGCCGCTTCACCAGACACAGCAGGTTCTCGATGACACCCTGCAGACATTTTCAGAGGAAAAATAAAGTTCAGCATTAAATTTGAAGTGTGTTTTTTTTTTAAAGAAAAATTATTGTCTTAGCTTACCCGGACACTGGAGCGCATGTCGCAGAGCAGCATGCCCTGCACGATCCAGTACGTGTCCCAGTAGTAGATCTCGCGGAAGCGGCCGCCGGGGATGACGAAGCCGTTGGGCACGTACAGCAGCGAGTACAGCTGGGGGTTGTCGCGCACGTCCTCCTTCATGCGCCGGCCCAGCACCTTCCACAGGCGGTTCAGCTCCAGGGCCCAGGCGCGGAACTCCTCGTCGGCCACGCGGCCCAGCAGCGACGGCGACTCGGTCCAGTCGGGCGGCGACCACTCCTCGAGCTCGTCGCCATCCTGGAGGGGGGAGGACACGTCCCAAGAGGGTGGCGATTAGTTACATTCAATACTAGCAGCACGACGAGGACGGGCTCGTCCGGGGGCGGCGGGGACGAGCAAACGTGCAAGCCGCGCGCCCCAGGAGTACCCGCGGATGCACAAGGCCACCTCGGTGACGGCGATCATCAGGCACTTCACCGTCACCGTCTCACCAGCGACATGCACATATCGAAAGCTTCTCACCCCCGAGTGGAATAGCGCGGAAAGCACGTAAAAGCAAATGAGTCAAAACGCTGGAATTGTTTTGGCTCCGGTGTCGCGGCATTTAGAGTGTGTTTACCAAGAATCAAATCAACAAAACTCCAGGAAGTCCAACGTTGCATTCTGCGTGCGTCTCCGGTGCGACCCCTCTCCACACCCATAAAGCAGCTCGGCCATACAGCCTGGACGGAAGAAGACGACAAACAGCGCTGATCCGACACAAACACACACAACGGCG